CGATTATGAAGTTTGTGGGTTGGACCTCTTTCAAACCTGTGACTTTAATAGAATTCATTTATGTACCAGTGTTCAAATATATTTTTAAAATCATTGATGTAAAACGTATGAATTGAGTTCGATTTTATTTCCATACATAATTCCAACCACAGGCTTCGATATCCATGAATGGGGAGAAGCACAGAAACTCTGGGATTTATTCAAAGATATTATGGACTTGAATAGGAAAGAAAATATTGGCTCATTTGATATTGTCGGCAAAAGGACAATAACAAAAGGCTTTCAATATCAAGAAAAAAGTGAATTAGTGAACTTGCAATGTCTAGACGTGGTTGTGTCAGGCGGTGATGAAAGTGAAAGTGAAAGTGAATTCAAAACAAGGGTTGTATATTTCAATCAGGTTTGTTTGCTTTTCTCATTTTACCAACATAAATAATAGCATAACTGGATTTGTAGATTTGTGTGTATTTATTTCATTGTTTCGCTCTCTCTCTCTCTCTCTCTCTCTCTCTCTCTCTGACACACACACACACACAAATACATACATACATAAAAACATGTGTATATTTACATACTTTCTCTTTATAAAACTTTACTCTGTTTCTCTTCACCTTTTCATTATTGTCACTCTTTCTAATTTCTGCCTGCAGGTGTTTTCCCTGCCTTTCTGTTTTTTGTTATTATCACTCTTTCTATATACCTTATATGTGTGTGTGTGCGTGTCTGTGTGTGTGTATGTATGTTAATATATTTTCTGGTTAAACGTAAATTACTGTTTTTAAACAATAAATTTTCCATGATTTGTCCTTGTTAACCAAACGCTTCCTCCGTAGCAAAAAGTTATAGGACGTCAGGTTATATGACGGTTCCGTGTGGGATACAGGATCGATTCCTGTCGGAGGACACATTTTCTATGCAATTTCAGGCCGTTAAACGTTGTTAATACTGTTTATTATAAACAGAGCATTTACTTAAGTATTTGTATCTATAAAAATCATGTATAAACAGAAAATATATATTAAAATAATTGTCGTACATTCCATTTCACTATATATATATATATATATATATATATATATATATATATTAATTCATCTTCGATATCAGGTTCAAACAAAATTTGAAATTTTCTCAGTATGTGAGCAGTTCCTGCTAGTGCGATTTTTTATAGTTCCCCAATGTGTAAATAAAACGAATCATCCTGATTGTCATCAACCTTCTTTTATCAGAGACTAAAATATCGTATCATTTCTCTATGTCCCTGTTTTTAAGTTTTACATTTCTTCTACTACTACTACTACTACTACTACTAACACAGCTACGTCTCGTTCTTCGTCCTGGGTATGACGATAAACTACATCCGCGTCCAGGGTAAGACAATAAACTACGTCCAGCAGCAAGGAGCGTGGAACCACCTCTTAATTGCTGATATTCCCAGGTTCACCCTGACGCTGAGTGGTAGCACCTGTTGGGTCCCAGCTATGGGCAAATAGTTAACCCTGAAACTAAGGTAAAAAGCATTATGAAAATGTAAAAATAAGTTTTAATACCAGAAATACTTTGTAAAAGAAATTATTACCGGAAATAAATTTTTGAAGAAAAAAAAAACTATTACCAGCAATACATTTTTGAAAAAAAATTTTACCAACAATACATGTTTTAAAGTAATATTTCCAGCTATACAATTTGGAGGATAAAATATTACCAGAAATAGATTTTTGACAAAATAAAAATATTACCAGGAAAAAAAAGTTGTCGGCATTATATGACCCATTGAGGTTGATATACCGTAAAACAAAACCCAAACCAGACAAAAACTTTTCGTTTTATTATTATTGCTATCAAAAGTTACTTATATCTCAGTTATAATACAACTGTTTACAATTCATAACTTTTACCAACATTATCACATTATCTTTTCAGCGCCGATGGGGAATTTGTGGTGACACTGATGACGAAAGCCACCGTCTATTTCGACGGGCGCATTGTATGGGAGCCGCCCGTTATCTACAAGAGTTACTGTCCAATCGACGTCGAGTTCTTTCCTTTCGACATGCAACAATGCTTCATGAAATTCGGTTCCTGGACATATGATGGTAACCAGGTCGACCTACAACACTTCTGTATGGAAAAAGGTGTCACGACTGCCACTGGGGAAGTGGTTATTCATGAAGGCATCGATCTGAAGGATTATTACCCAAATGTTGAATGGGATATCATCAATGTAACGGCCCGACGCAAAGAGAAGTTCTACAGCTGCTGTATCGAACCTTATCCGGATATAGTGTTCAACGTGACCCTACGAAGACGCACCTTATTCTACACGCTCAACCTGATCGTGCCTTGTGTTTCTATATCCTGCTTAACCGTACTTGTCTTTTATCTCCCTTCTGACAGCGGCGAAAAGATTACTCTGTCCATATCAATTCTGCTCGCATTGACCGTCTTCTTTCTGCTCCTATCCGATATCAATCCACCTACCTCGCTCGTCGTGCCACTTATAGGTGAGTGAATATTTCAAATTTTCACCTGACCAACACACGCACACCGATCGATCGATCTATATTCCAACACTATCATAGCATGACTTATGTGATATAAATAACACTAAAGTGGTTTTAATTAACATATTTGTCGGTGTACACGACACATTTATTTCCGGTAAATTGTCTAAAAAAATACCCTAGCAATTCGATACGGAAATCAAGTTTCCCTAAGCTAATATTTAGATTTTACTATTGTAAAACATTGTTTCCAAACATTCCTTTTGTTGAAATAAAGAAATATCACATTCGTAATCAAATCCACTAAATATTTTCTATATCTAATCATGGATTTTTAACTATGTGTAGATAAATGGAGGATTTACTATGAGTGAACAAGAAAATCAAGATATATGTAGCCTAATGATAAAATAAAAGTTATTTTCATAATTCAATATTTAATCCACTGAGAATATTTTTTTCCAAATATGTGTTTCGACAAAGTGAAAAAAAATAATACTAACATTAGAATTTTGACAATTTCTTAATTTTAATGGTAGAGCATGAATGAAAAACAAATATAGTTTAATATGCAGTTTCAGTGGATTGTTGGCCACGAGTATCAATCTCACCAGTCTTTGGAAATACTTCGCCTCTACCCTCTCTCTCTCTCTCTGTCTGTCTGTCTCTCTCTCTCTCTCACACACACACACACACACAAATATATATACATACATACACACACACACACATATATATATATACATATAAATATATATATATATATATATATAAATAAGATCGTAGTAAAAATAGTTATTGTTTAACATAATCTCCTTCTTTGTCAATACCCTTGATTCAGTGGTGATTATTAATCACTGAGATCAAACATTATATACTGAAAATTTCAAATAAAAAATTAACAAATAATTACGAATCAGAGTATGGATTTATTGATCGCCACTTGGATATAAGGATACTCAAGATCGATCATCGACCACTATTCGGATTTTGATGATCTGAAAATTGGATTATTTATTTTACACATCAACCGATGCAAAATATGACAAATATCTTTTTTATGCAGATATTGTAAAATACGGTGGTTTTCTGTAAACATCAGGACGCGTATTTCTCACCCTATTTGTATTAATGCAATTTTAATGTGCTGGCTTAGAAAAATGATGATTTGGACTATTTTTCTTTTTTCGATGTTTTTCCTGGAGACAAAAGGAAAAGAAGAGTTAAACTCTACTAGAATAAAGCCATACAAATGACACGACCTTTCAAGATTGTACTCATGCATGAAATACTGCTGCCATATATGATTTGGTGCCCTCGCTATTCGTCTTAAGGCCCTCGACAAAATACGGAGAAGGATATGCAATGGGATTGGCCCTGACCTGGCATCTCGTCTCCAGTCAATTTTCTCTCCCTCTGTCTTTTCTACAAATACTTTCACGGTAACTGCTCCGACGAGCTACTTTCGCTAGTTCCCAGACTGCATGAATTTAAGCGTGCTACTAGGCTGGCATCACGGTCCCACCCTTTTACTGTCGAAACGGTTAAATGTAGCCGTCTCTTCTACTCCAATTGATTCACGTCTCGCACCGCACGTCTGTGGAATTCCCTTCCTATTAATTGTTTCCCTGATAGCTATAATCTCCAACTATTCAAATGTAATGTCAATGGACATCTCCAGATGCTTTGATCTATTCCTCCGTCCCTTTCTTCATCCTTTCCTCTATCCCTCCTCTTTACTCTCGCTCCCAATCTCTGTAACCCCTTGCGTGCTAGTGGCTCTCCCTCCTTCCTTTGGGTGAAATGCTTAAAAAAAAATTCTATTAACAATTAGGGAGGGAGGCGAGCTGGGAGAGTCTCTAACCTCGTGGAGAATATATTTTCATGATGTAAAGAATATATTTCAAAATATCAATTTTTAAAATGACAAAAATTAATATTAATTCTAAAAAGGAAAATGTTTAGAGACCAATCTAAAATTAAATTTATAAAAATTTAAAGAAATAACATTCTAATCAAATTTAAACTGAGTGAGAGGTCATCTTCTTTTATCAAAATGGGATTAATTACAGATTTTATTTACGAATATCTACGGAGGAAACACAACTGAGTTGGACAGAAATAGAGTGAATAGAGTAGAAATATTGTACAACACCAGGAAGCCTTCAAAATCATTATTTAGAATTTTCACTAACCCCAGCCACTGCTAAAGGCCGAAAATACGCTACTATGTCCATTATCGAGCATACACATGCACTCACGCACACGCACATATATATATATATATATATATATATATATATATATATATAAAAGTGATAATTGAAGTCAACGAAATTTATTTATCACCTCTTCTCTCCCCCCTCACCCGAGTCCATGGATAAATAGCAGGAAAGACAGGATATTATAGCTTTATATGACAACAGATCTAGGAAAAGGGCAACTGTAAATTCAAAACCGCACGTGGCCCTGACGCTGTGATAAGAAATACTTTAAGCAAGATCTCTGTTAGGTTTCAGCCAAAATCCTTCATCAAAAACATCAGTTAACGAAGGAAAAATATACATAGAAGTAACTGAAGAACCCTGGAAACACAAAAACTACGCATACAAATCATCCTTTAAAATTCGCGAACAGCAACATGTTTTCCAAACATATCTGCGAGATTAAAAACAAAAGAAAAAACTAATCACGTCAAAAATATCAGGGAAAATAAAGAAAACAAAATAAGCCTACAACAATAAATCCAAAAACTGTAAACTATGTCTGTAAGAGAAAATAGCTATAATTACCTTTCCAGACCAACACAAACTACTAAATAAAGGATCAGTACTCATCTCAAAATGCAGACACGAAAATAAATTTTCAGTACGTTACTTAAAAATCGAAGACTAAAAACGAACAAGAATAAACAAAAATATATGAATAAAAAGATAAAATAAAATAAATAAGCCAAAAGAAGTAAATAAATTAATCCAAATCAATAAATAAGTAAATAAATTAAGTAAATAATAAACAAATTAAGAAACTACAAACGCACAAATAAACACAAGTAAACGTATTGACAACAACCGACAATAAAATAATAAATGCTAAATAAAAAATTTAACAAACAACACTAAATAGCCAAAAAACTACATCCGGTTGCACAATTATTTTCACTGAATAACCCCAAGAATAATTTGAAACATAATCGTTAGCACCAACCAAATAACTGTTAGAATAATAGAACAGACTACCCACAATCACAAGGCATCACAGACCTGGATATAGAAAAAGACCATCAAAAACACAACATATTTTGCCTGAAGATTATGAAACAGACTGTCGCCTCTAAGTTCTGACTTCATTGTCGTCTTTTATTTTTACACGCTTGATCCCTGATATTGAGCACTTTAAATCAAAAATATAACATACCATAAAAATATATTTTATCATATATATATAAATATATATATATAAATATATATATATATGTGTGTGTGTGTGTGTGTGTGTGTGTGTGTGTGTGTGTGTGTAGTCATCCACATACAAGAGTGTTTCGCTGTATCACAGCGCATCAGTGTCACGTCCGATTGCTTCAAGCCCGGACAGAAACTCGACCGATTTGGCATAAGTCTCTCGGCGCACGGCAGATAGGGAAATTTTAACGTATTATATACGAGATGTATACAAACGCCAGTAGGCAAGAGGGCTCAGTTCGTAATTGCAGAGCGATGCGTTAATAGCAGCAGCAGTCAGTGTTTTTAAAATGACCCTTTCTCTAGAGTGCTCGGTCGGGTACTGTGCTTATCTTATTCTGGTACAAATCCACAAGAATCACGCACCAGTGACGATCGGTCACTAAAATAATGAAATGATCTGAAGAACAATTCCGTTAGTAAACGGTGTTATGGTAAGCGACCAATAGTTTTCAGTGTTCACTCGAACAGCGTGTATGAAAATAACATTTGTCATTAACAAATTCAATTAAAGGATATGAATTGATATTAATGTCGACGTTTTGAAAGCGAACGATAAAAACCAGACATTGTCCTTTGCGTACATTCAAAACAATATTTTCTATTATTTCCGAATATATTTTCTCTTTCATTCAATTTATTTTTTTCTTGAGACATAGATATGGATAAGAACTATTATTGTTGACGTTTAATATTGAGTAAATATGCTAATCATTGGAAACTTCTCTTCCATTCAAACAATAAACTGTCTTTGTGAACGCTGTTTGAAAACGTCTATTTTCTTTGTTCAATATTATTTATATGATCTTATTTGCTTTTGCTTAATAGACAAAGCAAAAAAAAAGAAAAACAATACCGTAATTACTAATTTTCAAAACTTCTTTGTTTCGTCCTTAAGTCCTTACTTCAAACTCTGCTTGAAACTGTGAAAGAACAGATTTAGGTAGACAGGTTCACCAACGTTACTCTAAAATTCGAACGATTAATTAATTATTAAACAGAAAAAGTAAATGATTTTCAATTCCTTGTACATTATAACTTAATGCATTAATTTCAATGTCAAATGAAGTAAATGATTATTATTTTCTTCTTAGACAATCCTGATTCTCCCCTGTCTTTCAACATCGAAGTACAATTACGTATTGTTATGGCTATGTCACGTGTCGTTAACGCTGCTGTAAGCCACATTTAATAAGGGGATTTTACTTGTCCCAAGTTCACTATAAACTGAGAGATTTGCTCGTATATCAATTACTAAAATTATACGCTTTTTATAATTTTAATAACGTTTTTGTTTATAGAAATTCAAGAAAAACTAGAGCCGGGTTTTGTTTTTTTTTTTTCTCTCCGTTACTGACTGTAAACTTAAATCCGTTTAACGCTATTTTTAAAGATTTTCTGATAAAGCTGAAGCTTATGTTGACAATTTTTTTTATAAATGCTGACTGATTGAATTTTCTGAGATATGAGACAGTTCATAGATTCCAGTCCCTATGCAGAACTGCTGATTACTGATAAGACTAGAGCAGAATACAGACTTTTGTCGTCATACCGGTTGACTACAAGAAAATAAAGATAGGGATGAATTTGTACCGAAACTCGAATTTTATAGTAATGTCTTTTTTTTCAAATCTGCTTCCGTGTTTTTTTTTTTCTTCGTACGCTCTATCCCTGATATTAATCACTTTAACACTTTAACCCATAAATATAGCATATCTTAAAACTATATTTTATCATATATATATATATATATATATATATATATATATATAATTATATATATATATATATATACACACTCATACACACACACACACACACATATATATATATATATATATATATATATATATATATATATATATATATATATAGTTTAAACTTTACTTTTGGTAAATAAAACAACCATTACTTCCTTAGAAAATTACTTAGTTTACGTTTCGATAAGAAACTGAGCAGACATGAAAATTTCTTGAGTTTATGACCAGAAAATTTTCGCTTAAAGGCACTATTCAGCCTGGAATATTCAGCGTTGCCTGATTGAGTTCTTCGTAGCTCAGTCGGACTAGACAATGTCGGATCTAAAGAGAGGAGAAAAATAATGAAGGAAAGTAAATTGGAAACATTTTTCATTTAGTGAATGGTCGATTTAATCAAATATCTATTTTTCATATTTCATTTATTTTAGTCAAACAAATATGTTTTGGAGCATTTTCATAGAGAATATTAGATTGTGCTAAAGTTCTGCATGCTTGCAATTTCATAAAACCGCTTAAAGAAATATAGTTCTCTGTCTAATTTATCTGGATGAATGTCTTCATTTTGATTGTTGTGGTCAGAAGTTTTCGGCCGAAACAATTATTAGTCTGAATAGATGTTATTCGTCATCTCAACATTTTCACGTAGAAAGGAACATAGAATAAGTAATTTGAAAGTTTAATACAGAGTCTGTTAATGCCATGTGTGCGATGAGAATTAATGTTTGTTGCGCTAAAAATATGAGAAAGCATACTTCTCGAGAAACTTCTAGTAGCAGTCAAATGAGCTAGCGTTTGCTCGACTGCTTTACAATATTAAGAAAGTCCTGCATTTTTCTTAAACACTTAGAATTTTTCCGCATTTTATCGGTTTTATTTCTCTTTCCATTCAACATCAGATATTAATGTTCGCTTATGAAAGGCGATTTTTCAATAACATTTTATTGATTGCTTATATAAAAAACAACAACTTTGTATTGCTAATTTAATTAACGCTATCCTCGTAAGGCTATTATATAGCTGAATAAAATATAATGATATTAAAATGCCGGCTTAATGAAACTTATTGCAACAGGTTCATTTAATGAAGAAAAAGAAACATTTAAAATAAGAGCAAATTACCTTTTACCTTAAGTGTCTGCCTTTTATCTGTTTTAAATCTGTAATAACACAGCTATAAATATTTAAGTATAACATTGACTGAGCATCTCTTATTGCGGAACAGAGACATAGTAGTTTGGGTACTCAGTGAGGCTTAATCTTAATGCATTGTGGCGTGCAAACTTGACTTGTTAATCATTGTCGTAGAGCAAGCACACAATAGATTTTTGCTAACCTTGGCTTAGCTCAGTCTGCCACCAAAGTCATAAATTAGTTTTAGTCAGATAGTTTTCGGATGTATACAGAGAAACCTCGGTTCTCGAACGCCTCAGATGGCGAAAAAATCGGTTTTCGAACAAAAGATTCAAGATGAAAATGCCTCGGTTATCGGACAAAATTTCGGTTCTCGAACAACATTGAAGAACTGAGTTAACCTGAACGGAATCATTCCTGAGTCTACTGCCATGTTCTATACATTCGTGTGTTGTGGCGTGCTTTTCTTTTCTAATTGTATTGTATTGTGACTTTTTTCTCTACATTGATTCCTTCTGAAAAAATAGTTTCGGCTTACAAACATTTCGGGTTACGGACGATCTTCAAGAACGAATTAAATTCATGAACCGAGGTTTCACTGTATATGAAAATCTTTGGAATTATTGTTTCATACGAATTTGGTTGAATAGTTTAAATATTATTATCGTTTTTTCTTTGTTTTTATCTTTCAGGGAAGTACCTAATGTTTACAATGGTGGTGGTGGCCATGTCAATCTTCATGACCGTTTTTACTTTACACATGAATTATCGAGGACCGACTACGCACAAGATGCGACCGTGGATGAGGAGGGTTTTTACGGAGATCCTACCTCGGATTCTGATGTTAAAACGACCTGAACCGCGACGCAAGTCCAATGTTGCGGTTCGTACGTGTAACGGAATTGAGTTCCGTGAGACGTACACCGTAGCCCGGGATTGGAGTCGTTACCGAAACATCCCACCGCCCTGTGCCAGTCGGCTGAGCCACACACACCAACGACCCACCCGGTTACTGATCGATGACCAAAATATCAACCGGGTGGCTGGAAATCGATACGTCAACGAAATTCAAGATGTTATCGAAGGGGTTAAATATATTGCAAACAGAATGCAGGCACATGATGAACATGCTGAGGTAAGGTAATAAAAGAAAAGTAAATATCTTGATAAACATATATATATATATATATATATATATATATATATATATATATATCACGCAAGCGGTTGACGTTTTCCCAGTAACCCTGACGGAAAATCTTCTCTTCTCGATCTCTTTTTACCTGTATCCCTGACTCTTGTCCTACTACGCATCTCTACACTCTTGGCAACTCTGATCTTGCGGTAATGTCTGTAAACATCTCCTTCCGCTCACCCGCCTACCAAGATGACACTACCATTTACTCTTGTCTCAATAACAAATCCGTCAGAGCTGACAAAGTTAACATGGCCGCTGCTCTTGAAAAAGACATCCAATCAGTGGTTATCTGGGGCAGGAAATGGCTGGTAATTTCTAATGCCTCCAAAACTAAACTGCTCTCATTTAATCACTATTAAATTTCCCATCATGGCTGATGCTAGACTCCAGAATAGCGTCTCACTGAGCCTTCTAGGCCTTACGTTTTCAACTGATTTGAAGTGGATCAACTACATTGAATCAATAGTTGCATCTATTGCAAGGAAAGTTGGTTAATTACGTCGTGCCAGGAGATTTTTTCTCATCAGAATCCATTTTGCAGATTTACAAATCTACTATTCGTCCGTGTATTGAATACTATTGTCATATCTGGTCTGGTGCCCCTGCTATTCATCTCTAGCTTCTTGACAAAATCCAAAGAAGGCTCTGCAATGTAATTGATCCAGACTTGGCATCTCGACTTCAGTCATTTTCTCACCGACGTGACGTGGCTTGCCTCTGTCTTTTCTACAAATATCATCATTGCAACTGCTCAGACGAAATTTTTATCCCAGATGGCCCGACTACATGAATTAATGAGTGCTACTAGATTGGCATTTAGGTCCCACACTTTTACTGTTGAAATAATTAAATGTAACCGCCACTTCTACTGCAACAGTTTCTTTTCTCGCACTTACCATCTGCTTGCTTCCCTGATAAATACAATCTTCAAAAATTTAAATGCAACGTCAAACACCATCTTCTATTTTCTTGAATCCTGTTCATCTTTTATACTTTCTCAATCCCCCACTAAACCCAATCTTTTCTCTCACTTTCACTATCTGTAACGCCTGTGTACTAGAGGCATTCTCCTTTGCCTAGGTTGAAATGATTAATATATATATATATATATATATATATATATATATATATATATATATGTGTGTGTCTGTGTGTGTGTGTGTGTGTGTGTGTGTGTGATATAAAGAACACATAGGAAAAGTATATCAGTGAAACATGTTTCATTTTTATTAAAGCTTCGTCAGAGAACTGATATACGTTTTCTATTCGTTCTTTATCTTATCATCTTGTCGGGTTCCGATCCGTATTTGATATGCATTTGATCTTTAACTCCTATATATATATATATATATATATATATATATATATATGTGTGTGTGTGTGTGTGTGTGTGTGCATATATATATATATATATATATATATATATATATATATATATATGAGAGAGAGAAAAAAAAGGAAGATATTTTATTTTATTTTATTATGACACGTCATTTTATCGGATCATATATTCTGTTGATATGTCTGTAAGACAAAGGAAAAAAAGCCGACATGTTTAGATCATAAAAAGAATCCTTTATTTTCATCATTTAGATTTACACTAAATATATATCATGCAAATGTGTTGCTACTTAATATATATCGTAAGATTTTCTTGCTTGCATTATTTACATTATTCGGACTGTTATCCTCATCTTGCCATATTCACAACGTTTCGGCCGTTGCATGCTCCGACCTTCTTCAGGCGACTGGAATTTAGAACTGACGCCTTTATTTCATCCACCGGGGTAGATTGGTCTTGTTCTACGTGCCATGCCTCCTCCGGATGTCTCAGTTATTTCCTTAAATTCAACTCTCCAAATACTTGGTTCTTGGTTCACCTACGCACAAATACCCTTGCAAAAGGTATGAATCCAACTCTTTTCTCCACTCCCATAGCAGGACAGACTGGGTTCTTTAGTCTTGGTTGGCAACCAGTCTACCGCAGAAAGAAATGGTAACTTCTTACAGGAAAAATCTTCTGCCTCGTCAGGCTTAGGGCTTCTTCGGGTGATTGGAATTTCGAACCATAACATTTATTTCGTCCACAGGGGTAGATTGTTCTAGTTCCACGTGTCATGCCTCTTCCAGATGTCTTAGTTATCTACCTTTAACTCAACACCCCAAGTTTTGGTTCACCACTGCTCTGGCTTGGTATTGAACTATTTGGGTCTAGTCACTGGATCTAACCAATGTCTTTATCATGTGCCCTGATGTCCTTGCGGACGAAATAAAGGGGCCGATTCGAAATTCCAATCACCTGAAGAAGGCCGGAGCGTAGAACGGCCGAAATGTTGTGAATATGGCAATGAAGATGAGGATAACAGTCTGAGTAATGTAAATAGTGCAAGTAATCATACCTCATCTCAGAGATATAGACGGATAAAAAGCACGTTTTCCAACGAATATCTTTAGGGCGATTGAGTTATTCTCACTGTTTATTCATTCCCCCATCACAACCCAGAATATTTGCTGCCATTTTATAACTGCATCCGAAATCAGAAAATAAATAAATGAAAGCCAAAGTAAAATTATCTCGCATGGCTGCTTGGATTTCATACTTTCCCTTCAACAGCTGTTTTACCCCAACATCAAAGTAACTGCAAAACTAGCAACAGGAATTATCTTGACATTTACTTTCCTTATATAATAACTGTACAACATTGTTTAATATATCCTCATAATAGTCATTATAGATAATTTAATTGCTACTAAATTTAAAATTGGTTATACGTCGAGCGAAATATTTAACGACAAATAGAGAAACTTGAAAAATATTTTCTGATTATGTGCAAGTTCAGTTTGTAAAGAGACAAAATGATTCAAGAACGAGAAAAAATAAGTTGTTTCGCTCATCAGTCAATTCACTCCAAAACGTATTTGATCCGTACATGAAAAGATAATTTCGGAAATTTCTTTGATTTTTTTTTTTTTTAGCAACTGGATGAACCAGGCTGAGCCATGGCGTTTCTGTTTACCATCACATCAAAGAAAATATTTTTAAAAGTCGATGATGATCAATAATAACGATAGTTTCCCACTTTCGAACTGTCTTGATTATAGGTTGATTATAAATAAAACTACCACTTAATTCTAAGCACGTGTTTCAAACAAGTTTGTCATTGATTGTTAGCAAACGGGCAATTATTATTATCAGTTCTCTCTCTTTTTTGTTCCTTGTAGCAATACCATCGGCATGCGGAAAAAAATTGCTTGGTGGCTGATGTAGTTGCATATTTTCATTCAATGCTTGTGATTGCCTTGGTGAGACAGATAATAGGTTTCGAGTGGTGATTATAGGCCAGAATTACTATATGGAAGATCAGCTCAACCCGTCCTCGTAATTCAAATACTTATTCTTTTTTCACTGTTACTTTTATCGTTATAGAATTGTCAATGAAAAAATCTACATTGTTTCGACGCCCTAAATGAAGAAATAAAAACGGCATTCATTTTCAACGAATACATATTTTAGAAACTAAATTTATTACAAAATCTATGGAATTCGAAGACCCTGGAATGCCAGATTCTATTCAGAAAGAGTCAACCAGTGACTTGCCATATAGTCTGAATTCTCAATATGTTCTACTCTTTGAGCCTTCGCATTCCATTCTGATACTATATGTTTTCTTGGTCGAATTCAAATCGCTTTCCTACTTCCAAGTCTATAACTGTCTCCATACATTCTTATCTTGTTATATAATTCTTTTCAATAAACTATTCATATAGGTTACATTCTTATATTTTTATATGTAAGAGCGAATATCTTTTCATGGAATCTATTTTCGTTTTATTGTATTTAGTTCATCTGCATATTTTTGGGTGGGGGATAACAAGATTCACTTTATTGTTTTAGCTGTTTTTACGTAGCAATTAACAGCTACTAAATTAATTATGATGACAAGTATTATTACTTGTTACCTCAAAGATTGTCGCTTGCTGTCGATTGTGTTTAAATAATTTAAAATCTCTTCAAATGTCAAACAAGCTATTATCGCCGGCATAAATTGCTCAGAAGTTCGGGTTGGATTTTTCGTTGAATCTTTTTGGAAGCGTCGAAATAGATTTTATTATTATTATTATTATTATTATTATTATTATTATTATTATTATTTTATTTCCTTTGATTTCTGATGTGTACTCATTTGTTTCTGGATCCCGCCCAGGGACCTAAGGTTAGAAATGGCATCATGACACTTTCCACTGGAAAAAAAAAGATATTTTACATAGACAAAGCCCTTCGTAAGGTGTGGGCTGTACTCGAACATTTTTTTGTATTTCTTTAAGGCATGGGCTTCCAGGAATCTCTTCAATTAGTCTACTGAAATCTTTTCCAACCAATACTAGGGCTCTAACTACAACAGGGATTTTTGATGTTCCCATGTGCCACATTTTTTGAGATTTCTATTTGAAGGTCCTTGTATTTTGACAGTTTTTTGAATATCTTCAAAGATACATTGCAGTCTGCAGGGACTGCCATATCCATAAGGAGGCAGTTTTTTGTTTGTGGTCTCTAATAACAATGTCTGGCCGGTTGGCTTTGATTGTTCTCTCAGTGTGTATTGTGTAGTCCCATAGAATTGTAACAGGTCCTATCTCCGTAATAATAATAAGAATAATAAGAAGAATATACTGAAGAATTGTGTTGGCTCAAAATGCAGATTCTGTGATAAATATCCAGAAACGGCGTGTCAGAATGAGCCAATATCTACACTGGAATATCTGTAACTTCTACGGAGAGAAAACTGCAAGAAATTAGTATGAACTCCTCCAAAACCTGGTTACTGAGACAGGACTTGTAACAAGTTTATGGAGTTTCACAATATACACAGAGAGAACAGTCAAAGCTAATCCAGACATAGAGACCGCAAACACAAAAAGTGCCTTCTTATTGATATGACAGTCCT